TTTCATATGCTGTTTTGAAAATCCGGACATATGCATGATGCTGTCGAAGCAAATTGTCAAGAATTCCCATGACCTCAGCATTGAGGCCAGCCATATTATTTGCGCCTCCTTGATTTCGACGCAGCCGAGCAGCATTTGCCTCTTCCGAGGAGTAAAAATAAAGTTGAGCATAGACCGGCTCCTTTCCAGGCTCTGGCAAAAGTGCCCCTACATGGTGGTACAATGCACCCTGAATCTTGAACACATAAGGACCATGGCCATCCAGAACTCGCTTGTCCACTGTGACGCCGAGTGATGCCAAAGCAAATGCTGCATTGTAGGTTCGGATATTCTTTTTGAACTGTGCAGAATGGTTGCTTGCCCCATTGAACAGTTCAAGTAGATCTCGTGGTGGGGCTCGTACTGCAGGTAAGACCACTTTGCCATCCAGACAGCAGGTTCCAAACACAGGGTTGTTTGCAGTAGACCTGCTGAGCCTTTCTGCTTTCCAGTGCAGTGCTTTGCACTTTGGGCAAACCAAATCCATGGGGCCCAGATCAACACGGTCAACCCGGTCTTCATTAACAGGCTTGAAATATTTGGGCAGATTCGCAATAGGGACAAATTGTGGAAAATCCGGGTTGGGTTCATTTGGCTGCTGTGGCGGATCGGGGGGTGGGGAAGGTTCTCGAGCTTGTCCAGGTATATTGAGCTGCTGTGGAAGTAGAGGGGCAGGGTTTTGAGCATGCAATGGAAGTGGAGGAGCAGGATTTTGAGCCTGCAATGGAGGGCCTGGAACAGGAGGAATCAGCTGCTGCCGTCTTTCAGGAAGCCTCTGTCGTTCCACAGGACGAAACTCCAAAGGGGCATTGAGCTCAGCCAGGCGCCGTAGAATTTCCTCCCTGTCATTGGGGAGATCCCTTGGCTGCGTCTGAGGCAGATCAGGAATATGAGATGGCCCAGCCACAGCATTGACTTGACGCCGGCGAGCTGGACGCTGCTCTACAGGATTGAACTGGAGGGGAGCCTGTAGTTGAGCCAGTCTATCACGGGCTTGTGCCAAAGTGCCTGGAGTCAGCCGTGGTCCTCTATCTATATTCAGGGGTCCACCACCAAAAACATCCCCAGGCGGAACTGGCATTGGAGCATCTGCAGGGGGGCCCAGTATACGGGCTGGATTGTCAAAGGGCTGGGGCAAACGATGCCGCTGTGGGCTTTCAAGAACCCGATTTTCTCGTTCCTGCCTCTGAGAGGCAATCCGAGCCCTTTGCGGAGTATTTGGTGGTGTCTGATCCCTGCAAAAGAAAGTTAATAACAAACATGCATCGGTCAGCTGAAGGCATGCATTGCCAAAAAGTCAATAAAAGCCTCTATTAGAAAGCAAGAATGGTTAGGAAGTGAATGTGCTAAATAACCTGGTACGCACTCGGTGTAATCCGATAAGATCAGCAGATAGGGGTGAAACACAGCAGAGAGGATAGGGATACACAATGAACTTGAGGGAGAAAGGCAGGTTAACAGCAGCAGTAATTCAAAGCATTTCCAAAGCTACCTTGGGAAGGGGTGGTAGTGGTAAGAGGAAAGCTTTGAAAGTTGCCTCGAGGTTACCTGCAGGCACTCGGGTCTCCGGCATAGAGTTGGCCCGGGTGATCAGGTGACTTTGTCACGGGACATTATCAAAAAAGCTGTGTCATTGTGTTTTAAAGTATAGGATATTAGCTCATCTGACCGTAGTACGCCACGCGGATACTCGGCCTCTCCGACGACGACGAGGAGGACTGATCAACTTTGGCTTGGCTGAGATGGTCGCCCTCGACAGCCGGGAACTGCTGGACGCAAGCTGTACCAGGCTTACACTGGGAGTGCGCGAGCCTTGCTAGGAATCCAAGAATCATCCCAGTTTTGCCTTGTACGCAGTCCCAGTCACCACCCAGTCACCGAGATCCCTGCTGTGTCCCCGCAATCGACGCCGCGCGGCAGTAACATCGCAGTTCGGCGTTGTGTTCAACTTGAGTACTGCCAAGCCCAGATAATATAGCTTGGCGACATGGAGCCTTGCATGGATCCTTCGTCCTCCCATGTGCTTTGCTCCCGGTTGGCCCTCTCCAGCCCGAACCCACTATCTACTGCGTCGCTATATAAGCAGGAGTCAACGATGTACTTGCTCAGGTCGTCTCGCTTCGTCGTCACCCCACTAGCACTCTCCCGCCCAACGCTCCCTTGTCCTTTATTGGTCAGTCATTATGGTCGCAATCATGAACAAATTCTTCCGCTCGGTCCTGCTCGCCGTCGTCCTCTCCTCGTCCGCCTTGGCCCTCACCATGCCCGCCGGCTCTAAGGACGCGAGCCTCGTCGCGCCCAACTCGGCCAAGCACGGGACCCACCGCGCGCGTACGCTCAAGAGCGGCGCGACGATCGAGGTCTTCCACCCCGAGTCTAGCTACGAGGTGCGCGCGTTCCATACTAAGATCGGCGTCCACCCGGCTAACGAGAATGTCTGGCTAGACCTTCGACGCGGGCATCGACCACCCCCTGCGCAAGCGCGGCGCCACCCTCGAGGAGTCCACCACGACCTTCATCAAGGCCCACACCGGCGTCGACGTTTCCTACCGCAGCGGCTTTGCGCACGACGTCGCCTCGCATGGATACGCCCACCAGGTCATTGTAAGTTTTGATCTTCCTCCTTGCCTTGAGTGCGTTGATCACACGCATCCATCCAGGACGGTGTGATCGTCTCCAACGCCGTCTCCAACGTCGCGTTCAACACCGACGACCGCGTCGTGGCCATCGGCTCGTCCTTTGTCAAGCCGAGTACGTCCGTCCTCCTGGCCGCAACTATGCTCTTCACTAACGTCGTCCCTCATCAGCCAAGGTCGCGGCCAAGACCCCGTCCGTCTCCTTCGCCGACGCCAAGTCCACCGCGGAGTCCGCCCTCGGCGGCAGCTACCTCTCCGAGATCCCAAGCACCGTCGAGTACTTCGCCAAAGACGACGGCAGCGTCGTCCTCGTGCACGTGCTCCAGGTGCGCAACGAGGCGGCGGGGACGTGGTACAACGCTTTCGTCGACGCGCACGACAACACGCTCGTGTCGCTCACGGACTACGTCGCCCAGGCGTCGTATCTTGTGTTGCCGATGAGCAAGGAGACGCTTACGCAGGGGTTTGAGACGTTGGTGGATCCGCAGGATACTAAAGCCTGTACGTCTCCCCCCCCCTCTCCTCCTTTCCTCCTCTTCCTCTTCTCCTCCAGAATTTAAGCTAACGAACGCATTTTTTTCACAGCCCCCCTCGGCTGGCACTCCGACGGCACCACCAACCACACCTCCACCTCGGGCAACAACGCCCTCACCTACAAGACCTCCTCCACCTCCACCACCCCCGAGTCCGCCGCGGGCCTCGTGTTCAACTACCCCCAGAAGGCCACGACGGCGCCGACGACGACCGCCAACGTTAATGCTGCGCGGGTGAACAACTTTTATATTGTGAACTCGGTGCATGATATCACGTATCGGTATGGGTTTACGGAGGTGCGTTGTGGTTGTGTTGTCTCGTTTTCAAGAGAAAAACGAACTGACCGTTATTCTTTACGCCACACAGAAAGCGTTCAACTTCCAGACGAACAACTTTGGGCTCGGTGGGAAGGGCAACGATCGGGTTACGAGCTCGATTCAGGATTCGGCTGGCAGTGCGTCTTCTCTCTTACCCCACGTTCTCGCAGTTGTTGACGACGACGACGACTTTTAGCTGACAACGCCGACTTCTCGACGCCCCCCGACGGCCAGTCCGGGCACATGCGCATGTTCCTCTTCACCGCCACGACCCCCAACCGCGACGGCGCGCTGGAGAACGACGTGCCTACGCATGAGAACACTCGTACGTCTCCCCTTCCTCCCTCCCTCCCTTCCTCCCCCTCTTCCTCCTGCTCCTCCTTGTTTCGTGGTACTCACTCAAGCTTGTTTTGCTTTCCCAGACGGCGTAACGAACCGCATGACAGGCGGCGGGACGGGCGCGTGCCTGCAGACGACCGAGGCGGGCGGCATGGGCGAGGGGTGGAGCGATGCCTTCGCGGACTGGAACGAGAAGACGAGCAGCGCGGTGCCGGATTATGTTATGGGGCAGTATCTTGAGAATGACGCTGCTGGGAGTGCGTACCCTTCCATCTCTTCATTCTTATATATACTAATTGCGTTGCGCATTTTTCCAGTCCGCACCCACCCCTACTCCACCTCCGCAAAGGTCAACCCCCTCGACTACTCCTCCGTCGGCACGCTCAACGAGGTGCACAACATCGGCGAGGTGTGGGCCAACCTGCTGCACAACGTCTACGCCGCGCTCGTCGCCGAGTACGGCTGGGCTGCGGACGCCAAAACCAACCCGGATGGGACGGAGGGCAATGTGGTGTTTTTGCATCTGTTTATTGATGCGCTGGCGTTGCAGCCTTGTAATCCGACTTTGTGCGTCCTTTCTCCGTTGCTCTCCCCCTTTCCTTGTTAACAATTGGTTGCGCAGCCTCACCGCCCGCACGGCCTGGATCCAAGCCGACGCGAACCGCTACGACGGCGTGAACAAGTGCCTCCTCTGGAAGGTGTTCGCGTCCAAGGGCCTCGGCGTCAACGCCAAGGGACACGTTAACAATGCGGCTGTTCCGGCGGATTGCTAAACGTCGTCCGACTGCTAGACTGCTAAATTAACTAACGCATACATCCATACATATGTATATACCCTGACGATCAGACTGCATATGTACGTTGCATGCATGTATAAGTACTTACCTGGAAATTGAAATAATAGCATACTGACTGAGCGGAATGTTCATGTTCATGTTTTGGTTGGGTGTTTTGGTTGGGTTGAGTTGAGTTGAGTTTATATGACGCCTTGAACTACTGTGGAACTTGAAGAGCACGGTTGAAAATTCACTCTTCCAACCCGGACCCGCGCGCGCCGACGTACTTGCAAGGGTCGAAGCGAGACTGATCCCAGAGCTACAGAATCAGAATAAAAATGAAACCACATCCCCCGAAATTCGAACGCCGGGAATCGAACCCGAGTCTGCCTCCTCCAACTCCAAGACATGTTCAAGAAGAGAGGTCGTGCTGCCTTGCACCACGTCCGAGGTACCGGTCTGTACCAAGTAAGATACTCGCGCACCGCCGCGACGATTGCATGCTTCCATTGGACGACTTGGAGCGAGTTGGACTTGCAAAAATACCGACCAAACCGAAATCTAAGTCGGACGCTGGGAATTGAACCCAACTTCGTCTCCGCAGAGAGGGGGAGCCGAGGTGAGCCGTAGGTACTACTGACCCAAGCAACGAACGCGTCGAAACGACTATGAGCAATCTGGGCAAGAGAGGGTGAAAAAAGCACGACTGTGATTCATTCGAACGTCGGGAATCGAACCCGAGTCTGCCTCTTCCTCCTCCATGTGGGAGCACTGTTCAAAAGTAGAGGCCATGCTGCGTTGCACCACGTCCGAGGTACAGGTCTAATTCCGAAGTGCATGAATATAAGGCGCAACGTTGCATGCTTGGAGCGAGTCGGACTTGGGGATCTGGGATGGCAGGAGAGAAACTGAGAAAAGTACAATCCAGACCGAATCGGTTGAACTCGGACGCTGGGAATTGAACCCAACCTGATACGAACCTAGACACAGCCACAGAGAGAGAGAGCCCGTGGTGCGCTGTACGGTGTACCACGTCCGAGGTACTGAGCCAGGGAACGGACACGTTGAATCGAGTTTGGGCCACCTGGGCAGGAGAGGGTGAAAAAAGCACGACTGTGATTCATTCGAACGTCGGGAATCGAACCCGAGTCTGCCTATGGGCACAGTTGCAGGGAGAGAGGCCGTGCTGCGTTGCACCACGTCTGAGGTATCAGCTTGGTTCAAGGTGTGAATATACCGAGTGAAATAATGGAATGGAGGGAACTCCGGATCAATCGAGTTTGAACCACCCGACCGTGGCGAAACCAGTTGAATCAGACAAAAATACTTTTCCACAATAGACAGGGTTTGCCTCCTCAGTATAACTGCGCCGTGTGTGGAGATGAGAGAGCCTCCCGTATTGCCGAGATACCGGGCGTGTTCAGCGTCGCGTGAAAGAATTGCAAGTAAAATGAGATTGAAACAGACAGGGCTACAATGATGCTTTTTTTGTTGTAGCGTCTGTTTATAAGAGACTAGGACAGGGCTCGGCTCAGCGGTCTGTGAATCAGAATAATCAAAAGGGAGGGGACCCAGCTAGCAGGAATATTGCGGGGAAAAGTTAGCTGACATTCTTGAACGCTATGAGCCGACTCGAACTGAATGAGGAAAGCATGGAAAGATAAGCCACCAGGGAAGATAACATTCAATGTAAGCGCCCCGGTCCGTGTGTTGCACCACTTCCGAGGCGGAGGAGGAGGAAGAGGGTGTATTACTGCAGAGGTCCCTATAGTACGTGCCTATTTCAGCGTGAATACACCAAGTGAAATAAATTGAAAGAGATTTCTTCTCAAGTAGGTGGAGAATTCAAAACATTTTCACTCTTCTTCCACCTCAAGGTGAATAACGGTGAGAAATTCAAAAGAAAGTTAACAAGATGGTGGAGATGTTGTGAGTTTTTCACCCCACTTTCCAGTGGACAACGACAAACAACATTTCACCACACGCGTGTTGAAACAAAATTGCCAGTTCAACAACATTGGGGCGTGAAAAAGAGCAGATTGCACCGTTGGAAAGAGGTTTGGAACAAAACATCATCCATGGGGATGATCCACTGAATGAGCCCATATGGTGAGTGCGAAGCATCAATGAAATCTTGCCGGTACCCGCTTGCCCCGGATCAATGACCGCGGTTCCATCTGTCACACAGCCTCAAGATTTGCCTCTTAAACTCCCACCACAGCCTGTTCACAGCACCCTCGTTGCGACCTCCCACCACGACCGTCAACCACCCACCTCACAATGGCCTTTCCCAATGGCGGGCCCTACTCCACCAGCATCTATGGCGGAACTTTCAACAATGTTGCCGGGAACTTATATGTTGTTGGCGACTACAATGTCACCTACTACAACACAGTGACCTCGGGACCCGTGCAGGCCAACCGGAATCGTAAGTGAAGTGTCACGCAGAGTCTGGGCCTTGAATGACCATTCCCTTAGAACAAATGCTTGGTGTTCATAGAATGGTGAGACGTGCAAGACCCATTGCAGGCCATTATGGTAAGTGTCTCTCTGTAAGCTTAGCCCTATTGACTGTGAAGTACCAGATATCCCGCAATCTCGTCGTCTTGCATCGAACCAACAATCTGCAGATAACACCGACACATCATTCTCCCGCAGCATCCCCCACCCAGTCAGTGAATGGGCCCGGGAATCTGCAGACAATATTAGTAGTCCAATGACCCCGTCCTACTCTTATTCCCTCGGCACAAATCATCCCAATCCTTCCTTACCCAGGGTCCGCGGCAACATGTCCAGTGTGCACATCACTTCATACGGGGAGAATGGTATGTGTTCCGTGTTCATTTCAGATTAGAACTCATTGCAGCAAGGTCTTGATATCTTGTATCGTTCTGTTGTGCGCAACGCAATCCACAACTCCGCCGAGCGGCCCCCCGACCCTGCCTGCTATCCTGGTACTCGAAATGCCGTGTTGGAAGCCCTGCACACATGGTCCCGCGATGATCGTTCAGCTTCCACTGTACTCTGGCTGCATGGCTCTGCCGGGATGGGGAAGTCTGCTATTGCCCAGGATTTTGCTCTGAAATGCCAAGAAGATGGCATTCTGGGGGCATCTTTCTTTTTCAAACGGGGCACTCCTGACCAAGGCACCTGGAAAGGCCTATTTCCAACACTCGCCTATCAACTCGCTACCTCCTTCTGCGAGCTCAAAGGCCCAATCCAGCGAGCGGTTGAAGAGGATAAACTTGTTGGCAGTCAGGCAATGCACCATCAAATGCAGAAATTGCTTCTAGGGCCTTTTCATGAGGCCGCCTCACGGAATTCGGACTGACACCGGAAAGTCGTGACCGGTGTGACGTGTGATGGCCGGTCGGTCGACGGCACCTCAACAAATCAGAGCATGGAAACGGCCGCTTGGCCGCGTAGTTACGGCCATCACCGCTAAAATATATTGCTTTGCAGAGGTCAGCGGTTCGACGCTCATCGAAAACAGCTGCCCAGCGGCGAGCGGTAGCCCCACGCAGTGGGCCCAGCGGCGAGCGCCCTGCCTTAGCGGCGAGCGCCAGGCTCCGCGCAGCGGTCGGGGTCTGGGGTGAGACCCCAGCCGTCCGGGCCGGCGCCCGTGAGTGAACTCATTTCGGAGACGACGTCAAGACGACGTAGAAGAGAGAAAAAAACCCACATAAAAAGGCTCCGCGCCAGCGGGAAAGGCCAGCGCCAGCGAGAAGGCAGCGCCAGCGAAAATGAGGGGTCTGGGGAAGCATTCCCCAGCGCTAACCGGAAAGTGTGACCGCAGTCACAACAGTCACGACTTTCCGGTGTCGGTTCGACCTCCCCGCCTCACTCATGAATCTGCAACCCATTATTGTGATTGATGGCCTGGATGAGTGCGAAGACCACCGCACCCAGGTCCCGCTCCTCAAGCTCATTCTTGGGGCAATTCGGACGGGGTCTCTTCCTGCGCGTGCCTTGGTTGTCAGCCGCCCGGAACCTCACATTCGTGAAATAACTCAGGCAGCAGAAAACTGTGGCATTTGCCGTCACCTCGAGTTGTGTCCAAACAAATCTGCTCTTGCCGATATTGAACACTACCTCTTGGAGGAATTCTGCAGAATTCGACAGTCCGAACGGTTGCGGGGCTTTCATTTGGAGGAAAATTGGCCTGGCCAAGACACAATCAAACATCTTGTTGGAAAATCCTCCGGCACTTTCATATATGCGGCCACCGTTGTGCGGTATATTGATGATCGATATTCGGATCCCACAGAGCAACTAGGTCGGGTTTTGAACCTTGATCCTCAAAGCACCGCACCTCTGGACACCTTATACACAGAGGTTTTATCCCATGTTCCAGACAGGCTCCTGCTGCGACGCATACTTCATGTGGTTGTCTGTTTTGACCAGAGCTTTCACCCCGAGGACATTGACTGTGCATTGCAGCTTCGGGATGGAACTACACGTCGCACCCTGCAAAGCCTCCACTCCCTGCTCCTTGACCCCCAATCCCGATGGTGTGGTGTCAAAATCTTGCATGCATCATGCCAGGACTTCTTGACGGATCTCACACGGTCCATGGACTTGTGTGTTGCTCATTCCAGCCTTGATTATGATCTCGTCTCCAGCATGAACACTTCTCTTTCTAACCCGTCAACCAAGCTTTTCACCAGGATGTATGTATTTTGCTGACTGGTATCTTTGCATAATATCTGAACTACCCAACAGGCTGATTGCGAAAAGGCTTGGGAGGTGGATTGTCGAGCTCAACCCCAGAGATGATGTGCTGCCAGTCCTCTATGACCTTGAGGTTCAGCAGGGACACTTTGTGCCACAGCCAAAAGGGAACTCCAGTCAAAAGATAATACACTGGCTCAGGGTAAGCTACCTGTTGTACTGGTAGAAGCTTACTCACATCAAGTCATGCAAACAGCGCTGTTCACCTCCTCCAATCGACCTCATTGATGTGTGGGAAGATCTCAGTTTTGCGTATGATCTTGCAACCTTTGGACTCGACAATCACGGTGCAGACAGCCTTGGAACTCAATATGATCAGGTTTTCACTGACATATTATCGCATCACCCACAAACATTGTCTGTTGTACAAACCCTGTCTGTGTGGCCAGACTGGGCATGGGACCATGCTGTATGGTATACTGTCCTGAGATTTCTCGGCTTCAAGTGGGATGTACTGCGCCCTATCTGTGGATTGCGAAGGATTTCTAGCCTAGATCCTGACACCTGGGCTCAAGCCCTCCTCGACTTTATAACCAATCCCAGACGCGCTGGTGCTCTGTATATCCCTCGGCGAGAGTTGCAACAGTCAACCATTGTATATTGCATCTCCTGTATCCGGCAATACACTTCGACCAGGACCATTGAATACAATCATTGGTGGATCTCACTGATTCCAGAATGCCCACCCAGTGATGTTGTTGTCCGCGAGCTTCGAACCCTGGATGTGCGCTGCTGCGTAGATTTGCAGGGGATACAGATGCTGATAGACCGTGGCACCGTGAGAAACTGCACCCAAGTGATCTTGACGTTATCGTTTCGTGGTTAGAGGTCTGGTTCATCTTCATTGATTTTTGGCTTCCTGCTCACCTTCCACGTAGAACCTTCCATTGCCACCGGAAGATGTAATCAGCTTTTGGGTACAGCAACTGAGGGCGGTGGAAAAATGTAGGACATCACTACATGACTCCAATAGCGACTTTTGCGACAGCGACAGTGACATTTCCGATAGCAACAACTAGTGGAGGATTGGTGGGAAGCAGGCACCTCGGCCAGTGTCAGGTAGGGTTCCATACGGACTGTACCCCTCATATGTCTAGGTATTTATACCGACGTGTACTATGTAGCATTATTGAATAATAAACTTATGCTCGCTTTTACAGCAAACGGTTACCCAAGTTGAAATTCAAGAGTTTTCCAGGTTGAATCTCCTGAAGTATGTTATATCCGAGCGGGGGATATGGGGCCTTGTCGACCAGAAGGACCGGGTCCGCAACAGCACCAGAGCGGAGGCAGAGCAGAGCGGACTGAACGACAGGATGAGACTACGCAACAGAGGGGCTGCGCAAGTCTTACTGCATGGTATTGACGGACGGAGGCAGTAGGGTGGGGAAGGTTGACTTCTGCAAGTGTGCCGGAGAGGTTGGAGTGCGCGGAGCTCTTTGCAGCGGGATAGCGAAGAAACATTTATCATCAAACTGAAGAATACAGGATATGCTAAGGGGTTTATATAGTTTTAGACTTATCTATTAATATATCAAACAATTGAATAGAAACCATGCGGACAACCCAGGGTTATCCCGACACGTGGACTTATCCATATGACTTATCCGTTGGTTGTCACGTATAAGTGAAACGGCCTTGTGGATATGTCAGGGGCCAGGGTTAGGGTGTAGAGTTGCTCCACAGGTATAGGCTTGGCATTGACTTGACGAGAAGTCCCTCCGCCGCCTTCCGCCCAGTGGCAGAGCGGAGATGCATGTATAAGTACTTACCCTGGAAATGAAAACAATGGCATTATTGAGCGGATGTTCGTATTCGAGTGCGAGGATGGGTTGCGTTCCACCCTGGAAGTTGAAGAGCGTGGTTGAAAATCCACAGTCTTCCAACCCAACCTAGCTGTCGTAGGCGAAACAAGACTGACTGACCCCAGAGCTATATGTACTTAGAATCAGAACAAAAATGAAGCTACATCCCGCTATTCGAACGCCGGGAATTGAACCCGAGTCTGCCTCTCTTAGTAAGTTACTGCCAAACCCAGTACTCAGCGTGCTGCCTTGCAGAACCCGGGGTTGTCTCCCCCGAATACAAACCTAGACCCAGAGAGAGAGAGGCCGTGGTGCGCTGTGCAGTGTACCATGTCCGCGGTAAGCTTACTGAACTAAATAACGGATGCGTTGAATCAGCAAGACTGAACCAGATTAGGGCCTGACTTGGATGAGTGATCCGTGGATGGACGTGGATGGATTTGGATCCTTTGATTTCTTGCGAATTAGGTCAGGACTCGCCCTGAGAACTTGGACGGGTAATCGACTGGCCCTGTGAATGCAGTATGTGAATTTTTTATACCTCCAGACGCCGCCGGAGGAGTGAACTCAATTTTTCTTTGCTCGTGGGAATGGACATCCACGTCCAATGGATGCGATCGGTGGATGATGGATCGTCCAAGTCAGGCCCTAAACCAGATCTATGTATAGAAAAAGGGCAACATGGGAGCTAATTCGGACACCGGGAATCGAACCCGAGTCTGCCTCTTCCTCCTCCTCCACTGGGAGCCTTGCTCAATAGGATAGGCCATGCTGCGCTTCACCACGTCCGAGGTAGCTGTATGCAAGTAAAACATGCTGTTCAACTCACGCACCGCAAGCGACACTCGGAATTGAACCCAACTTCGTCTCCCCCTTATACAAACCTAGACGCAGAGGTAGAGAGAGAGAGGCCGTGGTGCACCCGAATGCTGACCCAAGTAACGGACGCGTTGAATCGGCAAGACTGAACCAGAGCTATAGAAAATAAAAAGACTCGTCTAATACAAATCGGATATTCGAACGCCGGGAATCGAACCCGAGTCTGCCTCCTCCACCTCATTTGGAGGGACCTTTTCCAAGAGGAGAGGCCGTGCTGGGCTGCACCACGTCCGAGGTGCCAGTCTAATGTCCGAAATGCATGAATGTAAGCATCAAGTAAGATAACCTGATTCAACGCACGCACCGACGGGACGATTGCATGCTTTGAAACGACTTGCAGCGAGTCGGACTTCCAAAAATACGACCAAACCGAAATTCAAGTCGGACGCCAATCGGACGCTGGGAGTTGAACCCAACATGTCTCCGCCTGATACGAACCTAGATGCAGAGAGAGAGAGAGAGAGAGGCCGTGGTGCGCTGTACGGTGTACCACGTCCGAGGTACTGAGCTAAATAACGGACACGTTGAATCGAGTTTGGGCAATCTGGGCAAGAGAGGACACCCTAATAGCTAATCGGACGCCGGGAGTCGGACCCGAATTTGCCTCCGCCTAACGTGGATATGGGCACAGCAGGGAGAGAGGCCGTGCTGCGCTATACCGCGTCCGAGGTATGGGCCTGATTCAAAGTGTGAGTACACCACTGCCAAGATAACTGGCTGGCACATTCCGCGGCTTCTAGTGAAAGCGTCGGAGCAAGTTGGAGCGACTCGAGCTCACGTTCGGGCGAGACGAGACAAGACACAGTAACCAAGAAAGAAAAAGAAAAGGGGGACAGTGTTGGGACATTCGGACGCCGGGAATCGAACCCGGTTTTGCCTCCGCCTAGCATGGATATGGCACCAGATAGAGAGAGAGGCCGTGCGGCGCTACACCATGTCCGATGTGAAATAAATCAGAACGGAGAAGACTTACGGGCTTGGAACCTTGGCGTGAGTCTTTCTAAACACCCAAAACCCAGCAAGAACCGAGCCGAGCATTGGCGCGGCTATGAACTTGAGTTGAGTGTCGCATGAAGATCAAGTGAGATAGTTGGCTCACACACGGACTTTTCTTTCACAATACCGGCCGACGACTACTACTCGTGTCGAAAGGAAAGTGTAAGAATTTGCGGATTCACAGTTGACATAGTTGAACATCCAGAAGATATTGAGCTGTAACTACTCACGCTAGCGCGGCTGCCTTGACCTGCTCCAACACCGCCCAATCAGCCAGCCCGAACCTCTGCGGCAGGCCGTCCCACAACTTCTGCAAAGCCCTCGCATGTGCGGTTTTCATCTGTGTTTGACAATGTGCACAGGTAGACGACAGCGTTGCCCAGTGTTCTGTCTCCCACAAACGAAGTGGAAGAATCACCCAACGCCTTGCCTCTGCTTCCCTGCGTGCTTTGAGACGGGCTGCGGTGCATTTCGCCTGGCGTTCGCATCCCGGAAAAACGGGGGGGTCCCAGAGGAAGTTGAGAATCGCTGAGGAAGTCGAAGTTGCGAGTGCAAGGGACTGTTCCACGCAGCGTAGTTTGTCGGCAGCGCTGAGTTCCCGATGGACCCCATCCTCTCCGCTCACCCCATTCAGTATTTCGTTTGAGGAGAAGACTGCCGTTAGTCGATAAAAGGCAAGGGGCAGGATCCAGTCGAGGGATAATTCTTGGCCGAATAGAACGATGCGAAGCCATTCATGGTTGTCGACATCCCATGACGCAGATTCAGACCACGTCGAGTATTGGCTGGAGAGCGTGGGAAATGCCGATGATAGATGGACCAACCCCCGTTTCCGCAGGGCGTCCACTTGATATTTCATGCTGAGTCGAATTATGGCCGAAATCGTATCGAAGTCGGTTTTGGCTGGATACGGGAGGAAGAATCTCGATAACGACAGGTCAGAGGTACGGATCGTACACGAAAGGAATGAAGACTCACTCGTAGTCGAATAACGCCTTCAAAAAACACTCCAGGTCGCGCTTATCGTCGGACAGCTGAACGACGGGGCACCCCTCAATGAAATCGCCATCGTCTGGCTGAGGGAACTGCAGCATGTCGTGGAACACCGGCGAGCGCTCTGCGAGGAACCCTGCATAGACGCGGAATGCTGCGGAACCAGCCTGGAGCACGAGAGTGCCGTCGTTGAACCAAAGGCCCTCGACGGGAGTATGAGGGACCGGGTCGGTGGTTGGCGGCGAGGTGCTATCTGCTGGAGGAACGGTGCTATCCGCTGGAGGAACGGTGGACATGGAAGAAGACAACACGAGGCGGTTTTATTTGTTCCTATTTTTCCTATTTGATTGCCGACTCCTGCCGAACTCCGCGCTTGAACTGCACCACATCCGAGTAGAACTCAGCTGGCATGTATCTCAAAGAAAGGATATATCCAGTGAATAATCAACTGGAGGCCTTCAATCCAATTTCGAACCCAGGGAACCAGTCTTTGAAAAAAAGACTACTGCCAAATGAGGGATTCGGACGCCGGGAACTTTCGAACCCGAAATTGCCTCCTCGAGTTTCAACATGGGTGACGAATGAGAGGCCGTGCCGCCCTGCACCACGTCCGAGTTATCGGTTTGATTGAAAGCATGAATATACCCAGTAAAATACTTAGTCCAAGAGCTCACTAACATCGCATGCTTCGAATGGAGTTTGAGCAACGAGCTCAAGCTAGGGCGAGACGAGATGAGACGTAATAAACGAGAAAGGACAAAAGGAAACATCGAACATCGCCGCCCGGCATTCGCATTCGGACGCCGGGAGTCGCAACCCCGATTTGCCTCCTCCCATGATTTCGTCCACCCCAGAAAGGCCGCGCTGCACCACATCCCAGCTATCAGCTTGGTTCAAGGTGTGAATAAACCCAGTAAAATAATCCATGGCCAAGAACTCACCGACATCGCGACAACTGGACGCGTCGAGTCGAGTCTGCGAAGAGTTCCAGATGCTGCTCCTTCAACCGCGCGAGGCATCTCTCAAGTGGGTTCAAACACACAACTCTGGCGCGGGCACGATATTCAATCTTCCCATTCGATTCGGCCCCGCAAATTTCACTGGGCAACCCACTAATCTGCCTGGCAATTTCCTGAACCTTCTCCATCTTCGAGTTCTCCCCCCGTGATGAGTCCCTGTTACTCCAACGTTGACCGGAATATATTGCAACATCAATGTTGACCTTGCTTCCTCCTGCGCTGCGTGGCATTCTCGCTGTTGCAAATCTACTTGCTTTGACGGCGGTCTAGCTACTTCAAAATTCCATCGATCAGCTGACATTCTTCCGTTTCCAGACACGAGGGAGGGCACTGTAACTTGCACGGAGACCGTCGACAGGCTCATCGGCGGCGACAGTCTCCTCTGTATGTTACGTCTGTTTGGTGTTAAAGACTCTCCAGCGTGTCCTAGTGGCTCCATGAATTGCGGCGGTGTAGATGAACGCCGCGTGTTCCTCCTCGCGTCGAACATATCAACGGCGTTGCTTCACGGATCAACCAGGTTGAAAACTTCGTATAGCACGGCATGTTGAATTCTCTAGTGATCCTTCATCCTCTAGGGTAGTTCAGGCAGGTGTTGTTCAGGCAGGTGTTGTGGAATTTGACACGAATAAGTGCAAGGGTTTTAGCAGACAGTACTTCAAAGTTGAACAGTTGGTTGAGGTTCAGCCGTTCGTTACATCTGACGTTGATTCATCCCATTTCCCCTCGCAGTGTCACTGGGCCTACATTCTAAAGGGAATTATGTAGAGCCAGGTCAGCTACGCGCCTCTTCCTGGATGGGACAAGAATCAGATTTCTGCCACCAAATTTGACTGGCCATTGGTTCTCGGGCATCTCGGGCATCCGTCAAGCTTCATACATTCGACCACTTCCGCGATAAGCGATACTCAGGCCTGATTCCGGGTCAGATATGTATAATCTCCATGAAGCGGTCGAATTTTCACCAGCACATTGACTTCTGTAATCCAGACTTCGGCTTCGAGTGAAGTTTTGAACGGCACTACGCCGTTTGCGGTACGGCGATTTGTGCGGGTAATTATAGTCGCTACCGAGTGAAGTTTCACCCTTATGAAAGGAGGACTCAAGATGGTCTCAGTTTAAAGGGGAGCATCGTACCCTTGAATTGCGTCGGGCAAACGTCGGGGAAACTGGAAGGCTCCGACTACTATGCCCCACGCATATATTCTTTTGAGCGACGAGGTATTATGAGACAGGTATTTGTGAGACAGCACACCGCCCACGCTGACGGAATGCAGCGGAATACACATCTGCAACCCTCGGCCGGTGAAAGCCGCAATTGCACCCAAGTATTTAGCCCCGAGAAGAAACACCCAATTCCGGCTGTCTGATCACCCATATTATGCGAGCGGCCCTTAGCGACTTCCTTTCACACCATGACCACCACCGATAGCAAGAGCTGGCTGCTCTACGGTATCGCCGCAGGAGCGCTATCCGTCCTCTGGCTCAGCTCTCGCAAGAAGGTCCGCAGCACTCAGACTGAGCGCCTGGCCCTTGCGGATGCAATGCGGAAAACTTACAAACCCCCCAGAGTCCCATCCCAGCGCTTGTCGGATCAAAGGGCGTCCTCTCGTCGTACGGAGCGGCGGTGAACGTCCTGCGGAACGCCACTGAAGTGATCACCGAGGGGTACTACTCTGGCCGAGACGGCGTCTACCGCTTCCCTACTCTGTTCCGGTGGGACTACATCGCCTATGGGAAGAAGCGTCTGCTGGAGATCGGTTCGGCGCCGGAGCATATTCTTTCCTTCCAAGAGGGGGTTGCTGAGGTGCGCTGCTTCGTCCTTTTTCGTTCGCACCTCGAAGAACTGAGTTGTTAAATCTTTCTAATTCCACCAGGGTCTGCAAATCCGGTTCACCATGGGGGCGGCGCTCACGGACAACCCGTATCACGTTTCGGCGATTCGGAGCAGCCTCACGAGGAACTTGGCGCGCTGCTTTCCCGAGGTGCGGGACGAGATTGTCCACTCGTTCAGCCACATTCTCGGGGAGAGTAAGGGTGCGTCCATACATCCCACTTCTCTCTTCCCATCACTAATTTTGGGTTTCAGAGTGGAAGCTCATCGAAGTCCTCCCCACCACCATGCAAGTCGTCGCCCGCACCAGCAACCGCCTCTTCGTCGGGCGTCCGCTTTGTGAGCCGCATCCTTAGTTATCACTTTTGAGGTTCCATCTGAACGGATTTTAC